TGTTGTGAGAGAAAAACATTATTCGTTCGCTGAAGAGTACTGCTGAAGTAGTTCAAGCGAAAGGGACCTCATAAGCCACTGCAGAGAGTGGTAAGTGAAAGAGCTCTGCCAACACAGGGTAGCTTTTCGCTTGCTGAACCGTGACCAACTTATGTTTGGCATAAGAAAACAGCTCTGGAAAAGAAAATTGACATATCTGTCCACTCCAGAGATCATAGCAAAGGAGACCAGTTAGATTCGTTTTCACGATGGATGAACAATGGTCATGGTATTATTTTCCCCACGTCCTGTCAGATCCCTCGATGTGGTGCTACAGAGCAGACGTGAGATCGATCACCTGATCACGACACAAGCCGGTGGCGGTAATTAACGGCGGCTTGAACGCGGTGGATAAACAGGGAAGAAATTGGGTACGGTGGATAAACATGGAAGAAATTGGAGATCGGAAGGGTCACGGTCCTCACGGACGTGCAAATCTTTATTATTTTTAGTGTTTGCTTCTTCCATTTGAATTGTTTGACTGTCATTCACATGTGGCCTGGATGACTTGTGTGAGAGGAAGGGATGCAAATCCTCATTATTTTTCGACGATTGTTTCTTTCAAATTGAGTAGGAAATAAATTCATATGTTTTTCCCGCTTTGTATGAAATTCCAAATTGAGTAGGAGATTTAAATTGATAACAAATTAAGAAGTCTTGCCACCTCATTCCAGTTTCTAGTGCAGTGTAACCTGCTTTTTAATTTTAACTGAAAACAAACCAAACCACATCATGCATGCATCTTTCAGCTCAAAAGTGAAGGTGTATTTTATTCATTTGTATTATTCGATTCAACCACACATTCCATACAAACAATCCTATTGCATTCATTCCGAATCCCGATTTCTGATAGGTAACTCATATAGCCCAAGCGTTTTCATTGATTCATCCGGCAATCCTGATCGGGACTTGCTAGCGCTCGGACGTCCGATCCAAGGCGCTAGCATCGGACGGTACCAGCTCAGTTAGCGAGCGAGCACCTCAGCGCGTCGCGTCCACGGGCAAGCGCCCCAGCAGCGGGCCCGCACCGCTAGTCGCTTCCCACGCGCATCTCATGTGCAACCTCCGATCTACTTTTGAAACATCCGGATGCAATAGTTGCAACATGTAAAGAAGACAAATGAAACACTTGAAACATGCATCTAAAACACTTGAAAAACACCTAAAACACTTGAAAATCATTGCAAACATTCAGATGAAACACTTGCAACAGAAGTATGAAACAACTGAAACCACTTGAAAAATATGCTTAAAACATGCATGTATATGCAACATCTGGATCTACTTTTGCAACATCCAGACGAAAATACTTGCAACATACGTCTGATACAGATAAAACATTTGGAACATACACTTGAAACATACATGTATAGCCATTGCAACATGTGCAACATCCCGATATACTTTTGTAATATCCTGATCTACTTTTGCAACACCGATATGAAACACTGGCAGCATACCTCTGAAAGACTGAAACATAACACCTGAAACATATGTTTGCAACATGCGTTTTTCGCACTTCTTCTTCCGTGCGACGCAAAGCAGAGCGGGGAACGGTTGGGTCCGGCTAGCCGACGGTAGAGGATGGTGGCGCGGCCTGGCAGCGACATGCGTTTTTCGCACTTCTTCTTCCGTGCGACGCAAAGCAGAGCGGGGAACGGTTGGGTTCGGCCAGCCGATGGCAGAGGATGGTGGCGCGGCCTGGCAGCGGGCAGCTGCGGTTGTGCCTGGCCTGGGTCCAGCCAGCGACGGCCTTATCTCTTGGCCACCTGGCCTGGGCGTGGCGGACAATGGGGCACGGCATGGCGCACGTGAGGGACGGAGGCGGCGCGGCGGATGGAGGCGCCGCGGGGGATGGCGGTGGCAGCACACCAGAGTGGGGCGCGACACGGGATGAAGGTGCCACGAGGGATGGCGGCGACGGCGTGGCGGAAGTAGGGCGGGCAGACGCAACCGTGAAGTCACGACGACTGAAGCGAGTGGAGAATTTCTATCGTAGCGTGCTCAGTAGAGAGATCGGTAGAGCATAGAGGGGAGCAGGCCGGTTGCGTCTTGGGCCAAAACGCTGCACGGGCCCAGAAAACACGGCGTCCGGACGAACGGACTCCCGGTCGTGAGCATTACCGATCCGGTTCAACCAAAATTCAGATTCCACCAAATTCAGAAGAAATAACTTCATGTCACATGGATAAATGTGTCGATTTGCATTAAACTCCTTAGTTGCAATGCAAAAATACATGTGTATGGCCACCCATCTGAATTTATACTAAACTCCTTAGTTGCAATGCATTCAAACTTTTTCTGGAGCATGTGAACTTGTTGGCTATCAAAACAAATATCTTGATAAAAGAACTCAGACTCATGAAAATATCACCTATTCTGGGAGCTCTCAAGTCTTAACCCTAAATGAATTGTGCCATCTATTATTTTGATTCCCTTCAAAGATAGTCCTGGGGTATCCTACAAACAACAAGCAGTACTAATATGAACTAAAAACATCAGTTCATCATGCCATCGAGCTCGAGAAAGCACATTACACATACTGCTTGTCACCTATTGTGTTTCAGAGGTGCTTCTACGCCCTGTCTGTCTGAACCGCCTGCAAACAGAGACAGATTTGAACTCATTATTCAAGAAGAAATCTGTTGTCTCCCAGTTGCCAGTTCCTCCCTCCGTCCCCAAGAGAATGCAATTCTGAAACAATGTCATGTTTTAGTATAAAAGTAAAAAATATTTACAATATCAAATAAATATTATTAGATTAATTACGAAATGTATTTTCATAATAAATTGATTTGGAGCTATAAATATAAATACTATTTACTGAAAACTTAATCAAATATGAAGTACTTTAACTGACACGCATATTATAGTTACATTCTTTTGGGGATAGAGGTAGTAACACCCACCCATTCATTAAATTATGTAAACAGGTATAGACCCAGGCCAACATATCTGTCCATTCATTATTAAATTAAATTATGTGAACAGGTACAGACCCAGCCCATTCAGCGCCTTATCAACATATCTGTCTATTTCTGGATCCAAACATGACAATAATCTTGGCAGCTAATCCATACTCATTGGGATTAGGGAACAACTAATATCTTTCTGAATCAAAGAGAAGCTAGGCTATTACGGCATGTAGACTACAGTGGAGGAAACATTGCGGAATCAAAGACAGTACGAATCAGTAAAATATTAAACTGTTCTTCTTGAGTTCTAGAAAAATTATTTAAGAAAAGAAAACATCGAGTGCGAACAAATCAAAACACGCACCTCGGCGAGTTGGTCGGTTTCCGGCTTTCCGCGGCCAACACTGCAGCATGGCGACGACGAAGCGTGGAGGCAGAGGAAGTATGTCTGGGAGCGGATCTGGAAGAGGAAGTCATGAGAGCTCGGGTTGCCACATCAGGGACACGCGCGGAGCGGCGGAGGCAGCACTCGCCACGCTTGACGGAGGCCTCACCACATATTAGACATAGCCAAATTTGTGGATATATACTAATGGGACAGCTTTATCTCTCCAAATAGACAAGAGAAAACAAATATTACGTGTACATATCTGAAGCACTAATAACTGCTCTCCTTTTCAGAAACAAGCTCTCCGTTTTTGCCTAAAGTCTCCTATCACAAGCAGGTCAAGCTTTTTAGCTTTAACTGATAGAACATTCTGATGCATGCAACGTTTGTAGCATGGCTACAGCTGAATAGAATACATTCATGATTCAGCTTCTACACGATGGGCAAAGCAAATGCAAGTAACCAACAGCAAGTAACCAACCTTTCAGCTTAATGTGACAAAGCTCTCAGTTCAAACATTTCCGAGACATGACCTCCCCTACTACATATGGCTAAATGCATTTTCCAGCATAAATAAATAAACATAAACGGTACCAAGGAAACACAAATTTACTCAGTAATTGCTTGCTAGTAAGGCCGAGAAAAAAAAAGCAGCACATATAAAAGATGGAAACATCATTCTGGAAACACAATGGGTAGCATTTCAAATTCATAACTTGGATGTATTGGACAGCTCAAACTAGTTCATGGCTTTCTGCATTAACTAAATAACTAGCATATGCGATGCTAACCTACATGCTGTCTTGTAAACAGCTTTCTCGCATCATTACAAAATGGGTACATTAAAGCACCAGCAGAATAGATCACCTAATTATATAAGATTTACTACTAATTATATAAGATTTACAAAATGGGTACATTAAAGCATCGGCAGTGTTATCGTAAGAATCACTGCCGGTTAGCAACAAACCGCCAGTGATATTCATAAATGGCACTGCCGGTTTGAGCACCAAACCGGTAGCGTTAGATTAGCTATCACTGCCGGTTCTTGTCACAACCGGCAGTGATTCTTACGATAACACTGCCGGTTGAATCATAAACCGACAGTGATGTTCGCGGTTACACTGCCGGGTGATCTCATGAACCGGCAGCGTTGGTGGACCTGAATTCTGCCAGTTTTAGTAAAGAACCGGCGGTGAAGTTGAAGAACACTGCCGGTTTGTAGGAACCGACAGTGATTGCTAACCCTCATCACTGCCGATATGGTTATGTCGGTACAAAATCCGGCAGTGATGGGGTGTTTTGAACCGGCAGTATTGTCGTGATCTGGGGTAGTGAACGGACAATTAATCCATGACGAACTCAATTGTCAATCTATGACGGCTTAATTTGGGAGAAAAAATGTATGACGCGGGATACATGATGTTTTTCCGATCGTCATGGTGAGCTATCAGTGACGTATTTTTGCTTGTTTGTGACAAAAGTAAACAGTCATATATAAGGGTATTTTTTTTTACTGCTAGCTACTTGTGGGTACGGTGCTCATAGATAAAAACAATGCAAATATATAAGGCACCGTAACACACACAACAACACCTGCAGACAGTGAGGATCGGGTCGGAGCTAGCTGGATAGGAATTAAGATTTATCCGTACATCCTAACGCCGGCCGGCCGTCCATTGCATTACTGCCGCGCCGGCGCCGGAGCCGGTGCCAGTCCGGGTGGGGTTGCAGACATCCCGTTCAGCAAAGAGCTGGTACGGTGGTTCATCGACGGCCAGCCACTGATTCACCTCGAGCAGGTTACTGTATTCATCCATCCAGGAATCCGCAATCGCCTGGATGAAGACGGACTCGACGTACCAGCCGGGGTAAGGGCCGGTGCCGTCGGACTCGAGCCGCATCCTGCACGCGTCGAAGCACGTCGCGTTGCCGCCGTAAAAGATGTCCACGCTGCCCCTCTCGAAGGGGTCGGCGTTGTTGCGGGTCCAGAACTCGAGGTCCGGGATGTCCAGCGCGCCTCGGCCGACCGGGGCTTGGAATTTCACGGAGATGCGAGCGTCGGTTCCGGCGGCCTGCATGGATCCTGACTTCACCACGATGACGTAAGTGCATATGCTGTTAGCTGAGGTGGTAGTAGTAGTAGTGATGTTGTTAGCAGCAGCAGCTAGGTCGTTGCCGTCGAGTCGTCGTTGTCGAGCCTCGCTGCTGCTCGTCGTCATTCCAGCTGTAGCCCCAACACGACCGCCTGCAGCGGCTAGGAGACAGCAGCAAAGAAGATGGGCGACGAGACACTGAACAGTAATGTTCGTCCAAGCCGACCTAGTCTTCATGCTAGCGACGAGTAGGTGGAGACAGCTAACTTGGTATACAAAGGCTAGGAGGACTAGTAGTTGATTTTATGATGCTCAGGCCGGGCGGGGGCCAGGTGTTATTTATAGGCAAAGTCCGTGCATAAAATATCGCAGGGCGGACGGGTGTTTATATATCTTCGGTGGCCCATCGAGGTTTATTTACAAGGGTAGCCATTTTCAGAGGCAAACCTCTTAAAAAAACCGTTCTTAATTTGTTAGTTGGGACAAGCCCATCGAGCCCAACTCGATCCGCTCGGGAAACCATAGAATATCTAAGATTCTTCAACCACCCCTCTCTTCACTCTAGCCTCGCACGCTGACACCGTGCCTATCTCTCATCCCCCATCCCTCCACTACGTAGAAAATGATTTTTAGCAACAGGATGAATTTTTTTAAGGAGCGGTCGGTGATAGAGCCGCCCCTACAGTGACGTGCTCGAGAGTCCAGACACCAGCCGTCCGTACAATGGAACATCAGAGGCGGCTAGATTTTTAGCAACAGGATGAATTTTTTTAGGAGCGGTCGGTGATAGAGCCGCCCCTACAGTGACGTGCTCGAGAGTCCAGACACCAGCCGTCCGTACAAATGGAACATCAGAGGCGGCTGGTGATACTAGCCGCCCCTACAAATGGGTCTGATTTGTAGGGGCGGCTCACTCACCAACCACCCCCTGCGTTTCTATTTGTAGGGGCGGCTGGTGATTGAGCCGCCCCTACAAATGCCCCCGTATTAAATACATCCGATTTGTAGGGACGGTTCAATCACCAGCCGCCCTACAAATGACCCACATATAGCATAACTACAGCACCTTCTTCCTTCTCGGGTCACTCACTCCAACCCGTGAAAGAAAGGTGGGGAGGCCTTGGACACCTCCTAAAAATTGCTCTACTAAGGAGGGAAGGTTTTGGTCTTAAATTCTTTGATGGAGAGGTTGTAGACGGTAAGAAAATGCTATTCCACACTTTTTTGAAGTTTTAATGGTTAGTTAGTGAGTAATTAAAATTTTGTTTTCTCTCTCTCTTCTATGGTACTTGAGCTACTTATGAAGCAAATTAGACTCAAGTTTTAAATGTACTAGGGTAAATTAGGGAGGGAAACAAGATCATACCCTTATTTGGTCCATGTTTCTTGATTTTAGTGAACAATTAGTTAGTTTTATGCATGTTTTATGTGCATGTAGATCTAGATCTAGGGGTTGGTTTTTTTATTAATTTCGTTTTTGTAAATTTATGTTTGATAAAATTGGACTAGGGTTTGTATGAAAGATATTGGGTAAAGTATAATTGTTACTGATTGTTGTCTTTGAAATTGTTTATTGTAATCAATAAATATGTATGTTATTTATTTATGGATAAATGGGCCATTAATTAATTTTCCTCTACCATGGTGTGTTTGTATGCTTCATGTAATTATATTAGATTTATATTCATATATATCTGAAGTATATACAATTATTCTCAAGTAATTATTAATTTGATTCATTTATATATATCTGAATAAGTAGTCCTTTAATGTTTGTTTTGTTGTTGTTGTAAAAGATGGAGTACAAGAACTCTTGGATGTATGGTTCGTTAAGGTTCAATGTAGGTTTCCGTGAAGAGGTGGATAAATTTATTAAAGCTACAAAGAAGCATGTAACGACATTGAAAGAGAATAAGGATACAATTATTTGCCATTGTAAAGATTGCAAGAACCGTATGGCATGGACATATGTGACTATCATCAGATCACATTTGATTATGCGAGGATTTGTTGAGGACTACACAGTGTGGATTCATCATGGTGAAACGGTTATTGTTAACGACGAGGATGAGGAGGAATACAACGATGAAACCATAGAATCCCTGTCCCAATATTCAGCAGAGCTTGATGCACAAATGGATTTCAAGTTTGACAATGAACAAGGTGGTGATGCTGGTGGTTGGGATGGTAACGACGAAGGTGGTGCCAATAATGATGGTGGAGCACGTGTCGGGGATGAAGATGATTTGGAGGACATGATTCGAGCCCTTGGACCAGAGATTTTACTAAATAGCCCAAAAGGTCTAGAAAATTTGGAATGGGTGACAAAAGCATCGAAGGGGACTGTGTATGGTGTTAAAAAGGGCTATCCGACACATTGGACATTGCTACGTTTTGTGCTTGAGCGGCTTATCCTGAAGGCTAAGTACGACTGGTCAGACTGTAGTTTCAATGATCTATTGCATCTCCTGTCATGGGTGCTGCCACAACCAAACTTAGTTCCCGCCAACACATATCAAGCGAAGAAGGTCATAAGTCCATTGACAATGGGGGTTGAAAAAATCCATGCATGCCCCAACCACTGTATACTTTTTTGTGGCGAAACATTCAAGTCATTGGATAAATGTCCCCGGTGTGGATCTAGCCGGTACAAGAACAATGACCTTTACGGTGGGGACGAAGCCTCCACGGGGAAAAAGAGGAATAAGAAGGGTACAAAAAAGGTGGTACAAGAATCTCAGCCCCCAGAGGACACTCCATTAGGCAACGATGCAAAGCAGAGAAGAATTCTTGCCTTGGTAATATGGTACCTGCCAGTGACCGACCGCTTGAGACGTATCTTCCTAAACCCTAAAGTAGCCACACTTATGACATGGTGGGATGATGAGCGCAAGGTGGATGATGATAAGATTGCACACTCGGTTGATTGTAGTCAGTGGCAAAGGTTTGATGAGAAGCACAAAGAATTCAGCGATGACCCAAAGAATGTATGGTTTGGCTTGAGCACCGATGGAATGAATTCCTTCAATGAGAGGATGAGCGACCACAGCACTTGGCCAGTGATCTTGACCATGTACAACATCCCAACATGGTTGTGTCAGAAGAGAAAGTACCTTCTCCTCACTATTCTTATTTCTGGCCCTAAACAACCAGGCATTGATATAGACATGTTCCTCGAGCCTTTGATGCAAGAAATGGAGAGGCTATGGAGGCATGGGGAGCAGATGTACGATGCGTTCTGAAAGGAGGACTTCATATGTAGAGCAATAATATTTGTTACTACCAATGATTACCCCGCACTGTTTGCTTTGTCTGGACAGATCAAAGGAAAGACGGGATGCTTGGTTTGCTTGGATTGTACTACATGGGTGTACCTGGATGCATCTAAGAAGATAGTTTACCTAAGGAACCGACGCTTCTTAAAGACAAGTCACAAGTACCGCAGCAAATTATTCTTTAGATTTTATGACAACGCTACGGAAATTGAACCCCCTCCGGAGAGACGTCATAACGGAGAACACATGTATAGAATGGTGAAAAACATACGCGTCATCTATGGAAAGAAGAATCCAGATGGGACTAACATAGATAGAAGCACACCTCCTATCGAAGGCGTACCTTTCAAGAAACAATCGATCTTCTTTCAGTATCTGCCTTATTGGCCAGACTTGGAGGTCCCCCATGCCATTGATGCTATGCACGTGCAGAAGAATGTCTTTAAGAGTCTCATTGCTACCTTGATGGACACATGCAAGTCAAAGGATGGTCTGAAAGCACGGAAAGACATGGTGCAGCTAAACGTGATGCCACAGCTTCACCCGGTACCTGAGGCTAATGGAAAATACACTCTGCCCGTGGCGTGCTTCAACCTAACACCAGACGAGAAGAGAGCTATATGCACTTTCCTAAGGGGGGTCAAAGTCCCAACCGGGTTTTTAGCAAATGTGAAGAAGCTAGTGTCGATGAAGGACTTGTCAATAACACACTGCAAGGCTCACGATTGCCATGTGATGCTGACAGTGTTTCTACCTATTGCAATCAGGGCTATAAAGCCAGAGTTCTTGAAAATGGCCATCACCCGCATGTGCTACTTCTTTTCGAAGATCTCACAGAAGACGATTGGCAAGCAAGAGCTGAGTGACCTACATAAATTTGTGGTGGAGACACAAAACCAACTAGAGATGTGTTTACCTCCTGCTTTTTTTGATATAATGCCACATCTCATGATTCACATGGTTCATCAGATACAGGCGCTGGGCCCTTGCTACTTGCATGAAATGTGGTCCTACGAGCGGTTCATGTCGGTTCTAAGTTGATACATGCATAATCGAGCATACCCAGAGGGCTCCATGATAGAGGGTTACAGTACTGAAGAAATCGTTGAGTGCTGTCAAGAGTACCTAAAAGTATAGAAAGGGATTGGTAAACCTGATTCTCGTCACAAGGGTAGGCTGGCTAGGAAGGGCACTAGTGGTAGAAAAGTGTTCATTGACCATGATTACAAAGAGGTGAATCGGGCGCATTACAGTGTCTTGCAGAGTACACAACTGATGCAACTGTACATTGATGAACACTTGGCTATCATTATGGCGGAGAGAAATAGCCGTTCGAATGATTGGGTCATAAAACAACACAAGCAACAACTTACTACATGGTTGAAGGACCAAAACATATCGCCTGAAGAAATCATAGACTCTATTACCATCAGTAGGTTGGCGGAGGGGCCATCGAGACAAGTGACATCTTGGAATGCTTATGACATCAATGGGTATACGTACTATACCCACGCAAAGGATAGTAAATATGTGAACCAAAACAGCGACGTTCGAATAGAGGCTCTCGATGGATTGGGGCGAAAGATCCAATACTTTGGCATCATTGAAGAGATATGAGAACTTGACTATGGAAGGGATATAATGGTGGCTCTGTTTTGATGCCGCTGGATCAAACAACACCAACTGAACGAGATCGGATTGAGAGCCCTAGACCTCAAGAATCTAGGCTACCAAGATGACCCTTGGGTGCTCGCTTCACATGTCGCACAAGTTTTCTATATGTCTGACCCACAAAGTAACTTCCCTCCAAAGAAGAAGACAAAGCACGTGGTTACCTCCGAAAAACAGCAT